GAGGCTCGGGCTGCCCCGATCCCGCCGAGAACTGAGGCTCGGGCTGCCCCGATCCCGCCGAGAGCCGGAGCTCGGACGGCCCCGGGCCCAGCGCTGAGGGGCCGGAGGGSRGCGGGAGGCCCTGGCGGGRGCGGCTCAAGCACGGCCRGCGGGAAATGGCGCCGTCCCGGCCCCCTCCCCGGCCGCTTTGGGAACCGCGGCTCCTTTTCCCCGTTATGGTTCCCGTGAGAGGGCTCCGCCCTGGGCCTCGCCCCGTTCTTCCCGGGAAAAGCTCTCGCCCAGCTACCATGGGGCAGCTGCCGTCCGTCCCCTGCCCGCGGTGACGGCAGGCACCGCCGACCCCCGCTGAGCGCGGTGGGCTCCGCCGCCTCAGAACGGAGCGGTCACTCCTCCGGCAGGGTCAGCGGAGACGGACGGCGGGGGCCGCCCGGGGAGCGGGACGAGCGCCCGGCCGCTGGCATCCCTTGAGCGAGGCTCAGCCCGCCCTGTCAGGGGCCCGGCGGGGGCAGCGCTGCGGGGACGGGACCGGCCACGGCCGCGGGGGCCGGCGGGCCGAGAGCCCCCGGGGAGGGCCGGGCGGCGGCGCGCCTGGATGCCCGCCCGCCGCCGAGTGGGAACGGGCGGGGAAAAGTTTCTTCTGTACGCGCCCCGTCCCTCCCTCCCTCCCTCCTTCCGCGCCCGCACACTCTCGCATACACACACACGCAAGCTCACACCCCTCTCCCGCCGCCAGCAGCCGGGGGGCACTTTTGAAAGCCCTTCTGGTTCCACACCCAGCCGCCGCTGACATCATTCCCGCAGGAGGGCGGGCGGAGGCACCGCCGCCGCCGSCAGACGGTCGCAGCCCCGGAGAGCTGCCCGCCGTGAGTAGCCTCGGCCGGGCGGGGGGCGCGGGGGGAGCGGGGCGGCGGCGGGGGGAGCGGGCAGCTTCGCCGGCCAGGGGAGGAAGAAATCGCCAGAAAGGGGGAAAAATAAAAAGCACGCGTTTGTTTACTACGAAGCACGTTTTATTTCGGCGGTCGCGGTGCCGCGCCGTCGCTGGGCCGGCCGGGGAAAGCGGTCCCGGTCCCGTCGAGCCCCGGTCCCGCTCCTTCGCTCCGGGCGTCGCGGAGCGGGACAGGGCGGGCCGAGAGGCTCCTCGCCAGTGCGTCCAGGCTGGGCCAAGCCMGCAGAAAGTTCGCGTTCTCCACGGAATAGTTTGTTTCTGTTCTTTTCTGTAATGAACTCTCAGCGGAGTTAGCGTGTGTTGCAGTAACGTTGTAGYTGCTCTTGGCAGCTTCCCCCCCTCCGTGGAAGGAAAATACTCTTAGATGTAATTCAGTGCAGATTTCGGTTTGTGAAGTTTTTGCCAGCATTAAACGTTCTTCCACTTTAGTTAAACTGCAGTTTCACTCGTTGGTGGCTTTTATCTATACGTAATGCCCCACTTACACTCGGGAGGTTGTGTGCCAGATACTGGACAGGCAGCTCTCAGTAACGTGGGKTGTCTGCAATATTGAATATTGAATCTGAGAGGCCAACTCCTTGTTTGGACATTTCCAGGAAGAACAGGGCACTGCTGTCGGTTCCTCAGCAGACTTATCCAGGGTTTGCTCCTATTCACAGAATGCTGCTATCAAGAAACCTGCAGTTCAGTCTGTCCGTTAATTACTTGGCCGGAGTACTTTGTTCACATGGTACAGGAAGGTCTTTTTTTTTTTTTTTTTCCCCCCCAACAGTTGGGAATCGTATGTAAATGATCAGTAATTATTGCAGTAGAGCACCTTAGAAATATTTTCTGACTTGGTACAGGGCTTTGAAGAAGCCCACTCAATAGTCGTGAAATCCATACTGAATTTTGTTTGAGTTTTCTGTAGGAACTTTGCAAGTAAACAGCTATGGTATGGTTGGCTCATCGTCAGAAAAACAAAAAGTAACACTTTCTCTTGATTTACTTTCAGACTCTGTAMATACAGTGCTGGTGTGTTAACTATGTAAAATAAGCCTTCTTTGCCTGAGCAGATGTTTTCTCTGTCAAATAAAAATAGTTTATAATGACTCCTTCATCCAGACCTGCTCTCAGATGTTGATTTTGAAGCTTAGCTGTCCATATAGTTCAGCAAAGAGCTGTGAGGCTGGACTGCTGGGGCTGAGGTGCCAGTCTGGAGGCTGCAGATGTGGGCAGGCAGGAACTCACACAAATGGTAGGGGACTATTGCACATGAGTTTCACTGAGGGGAAACGGGAATTGCAGTTTGCTGGAGAGTCCCACTACATTTTTGTAAGAGAGTGTGTGACAAATGCCATCTTGAGGAATGCAGCTGGGGTACAGGTACTTGCCACAGCTGGTGAAATTAAAGTGGGAGTAGAAACAAAGGTATATGGAAAACACGGTCACCAGAAGCTGATAGGAGTTTATTCAGCATAACAACTTCACCTTTGCTTCAAAGACATTGAAAGAAGGAACTCTTGCTGTTCTCTGAATCCCTTTGTGAACTTGTAATGTTGTGTTGGGAAATAGACTGTTGGGATACCTGAGGGAAGATTCATGCTCTGTGCTGAATAAAGATGTGTTCAGATTGTATCACGCCAGCTGCATGGCTGACAGAGATGTTACCAGGTAGCTGTCTGCCCAGCCAGGAAGTACTCTGCCAAGAGCTGTAAACCTTAACTGCACTTGAAATGCACCAATACCGTGAAGACTCTTAGGAGGTGATCAGTTTTTTGCTAGTATTCTCATTTGGAAAGGAAAATGGTGTGTTAATATAATAAAAAYAACATACAGTCAGTAGACAAGACACTACAGGTGTTGTATTCTTTATTTGTGGTCTGGAAAGACTTCTGTCRTAAACACACAAACAGTGTTGATTATACTGTGGATCTGCCAGTGAGGAAAAACACATTTTAATTGGTTACACAGATTTAAAGCCTTGTTAATAAGGGAAGTTGTTCAACTGACTGAGCAGGTCAAGACTGAAGGCTTCTGCAACATCGTTATCTTAGGCAAAGATTTTGTTTCTGTTTGTAGATGCTGGAGTTATTGTTAATGGCCAACATTGCTTAGAAGAAATGAACACCTCCATCTTACACCCACTTTCAGTTAATGCACTTGACCCCTCTTGATTTAKTAGCATCTCTTTCTTCACAGTTGCCTTGTGTCTTTCCTTTACTTCTATTATTATGGCTTTTATTTTGTTGTCTTGTTTGTCCCAAGGTTGTTCCCCATCACAGGTTTGACRTTCCTTTAGTCATTAGAAGAATGTTGTACTGATGAGTCCCATATGAATATTTAGAGAAGCAAGACCTTTCTTTACTTTTGCTAAGTGTATTAGGTGTGAGCTGTCTCCTTTCATAATGCTGTTTCCCTGTCCATTTAAAAGTGAGATCAATGGCAGCAAGGAGACTCTTCCCTTTTCACCTCAATGGCTTGAGGTTTATATATTTTGGTTTTCCACTGGCACAATGTTTTCATTGTGTCTTGAGCACCACACAAGACATGACACCCCCACATAAATCAGGACAAGAATGTGTATAATTGAAGAGATCAGTAGGTCTCTGGGGATAAGATTTTTTATATTGCTAGCTGACAGATGTACTTTCCAGATCYTCCTCCATGTTCCTGTTGGAAGAGGACCCAGCAGAATGAGGCACTGTGTTATACAGGAACTCATAAGAAAGAGATGCACTCTGAAGTGAAGCAAACACTGCATGTAAAATCCATGCGATACTTCAGCACAGCCAAATTTGAAAGTAGAAAGGAATGCACAGCTTTTATTGAAATCACATTGGTCTCAGAGGGAGTGCAGGGGGAAGGAAGCACAGTTCTAAGGAATTCCATTCATGGAGCTGTTCAGTGTTTGTTAGGGTTTGTTTTTTGGATGCTTAAATGAAACCATGATCTTTGCAGTGGAGTTTCAGTTTTTGATGTTTTTTTTTTWAAAACTTTACTATTTTAGAGAGTGATAATTTTGTAAAATATATCTCTAAATGTCAGGTGATGCTTATGACTTCATTAGGAAGATAAGCATCATAATTATTAGAAAATATATCTTGCTGGATGGGACTCAAGAGAAGCCCTGATGGCCCGAATTCATCCATCAAAAKAATTATTATTTCTCCACTGAATGGGGAAAATGTAATTACACCTCTTTATTTTGCCGATGAAGTTTCATGGGCAGGTTTAATGATGGTATGTGCATGCCAGGTGAAGCCTCATAATTTGGGTGTGACCTTAAAATACAACCCTCTGGCTGTGTAGAGATCTTCAGAGGAGTCTGTAGGTGGAGCAGAAAGTGGACTGACTCAAATACCCCTTAGAGATGGCTATAGGATATATATATTTATGGTTTGCTTCAGTGATTCCTAAACACTGCACTGTTTGGAATTGCATGGGCTGCAAACAGCCAAGGTGGGCAGGATGAACACTCCCTCTGGTGTTTAATGCAGGTGTTTGGTGTCCTGAAATAGATCAAAATCCTGGCCTTCTTCCAGACAGAAAGAGACCTCCAAAGGCCTGGATATCTGTGCTGAGGTGCRTGTGCTGCCAGCTGGGCTGTGCAGACTCACCTGCACACCAGGGCTGGCAGTGCTCAATCCACACGAGCAACAAAGCTGCTGCTTGGGTCAAAGGCAGAAACAAACCCAAGTCCAGAGACTGTAGAAGAGTCTGTGTTGAGCTGAAGGGCTCAGGCTGAGCCTGCCCGTCTGTCAGGGTGCCTGCTRTGCTTACCTGGCACTGTGGCTGTGCAGTGACCCAGGCACTGTCCAGCCTGGCTGAAGTGCAGCCGTGGGGTAGAGCAAAGTGACCCAGGGCACCCTGAGGGGACTGGGCTGTTCCTGTAGAGCAGCCAGTGTAGAAGAGCTGCGCACTGAATGTGCTCAAACAAGGGACAGAAATCCTTCTGTCTGGGCTTGTAGAGTCCACATAGCAACTTTCATTGCACCGCATACAAATTAATGTAAAAATGGCATTCTGGAGATAGGCTGAATATTAAATGAAAYGCTATGCTACAATGTTGCTGTCAAACAAAGTAGTAGTAGTAGTTGTGGAGAGTTTGAGCTTTTTATTTTATAACCAACTGTTGCACCATCAATAGAAATGTGTTTTCACACTCTTGATAGATGATGTGTAAACTCTGAAATAACTAAAACCAAAATTTCTCAACACAGAGCTAGTCAAAGCCAAATCAAAACAAGCAGTTTGAAAATTTTACAACAGTGAATGCAACACATCTAATTGCTAGCAATTTCCACAGAGCATCTGCCAAAGTTAAAACAATATCAGCTTTTATTTCTACAGAATTAAAAGCATTGCTTTCAATCTGGAAAGACAGACCTTTTCTGCCTTTGTTTGTTGGTTAATTAGGTGGAACATCATAAATCACTTGAGCTGTTCTGTTGTATCTGGAATAATCTCTGGATAAGCAGCAGTCTGCAGTCAGTGGAGCCCAGGGTCTGAGATTTGCTCTCAGGACTATGTTAATGTGTAGTCAATGCTGCAGGTGTGGTTTTTTTTTTCTTCTTTTCACTGACTCAGGCTAAGGACACATTTCATCTGTCAACCTGATATAAAGGTCTGGTATTTTAGTTGGTCTGTCACTCCCTGCCCTGCCAAGGTATTGAACAGGGACAACCTCGACACTGAAATGTGGCCACACAGTGATTGAGCAGGGGTGAGGCCAGGCCACACCTCAGCTGAGCTGTTTGTTTCAGGAGCGGGTTCCCAGGAGGGTTCTCATAGCTTGAATAGCTTATCAGAACAGCCCCGTGTCTTTGTCCCTGCCCCATGGAGCCAGAGGCAGGGCTGTGCCAGCAGGCTGCCAAGGCTCTGTGGCTGCTGCCCACTGCCCTGGAGTGCTGGCAGGGAGGGCAGCCCTTAGTAACT